GCTTGGACGCATCACGGTTGCATAACGGCCTCGGACTCCAGACTGGGTGGCTTCAGCGTTCAGGGAGGTGGAAGAGGGAGATTGAGAGCTGAGACGCCCGCTAACGACGAGATATGAGGCGATATATGTTGGTATTGATGTCCTGAACATGAACCAAGAAATTCGTTAGCTGTAGGTGTCCAACAGTACACTAACATCGCTTCTCAATCCTCCATGTCCGCTATTCCCACTTGCTAACTATAGATATCCCAAAGACGCTCTTGCCATCCACTGGCTCGACGACATTAAGCTGAACGGTCGCGCGGCGCAGGCCCAGCTAGGCTACACAGCGGAGGAACACAGCGTAGAGGTAGGACGGCACTAGATGGATGTTGGCGATGTTGCCACCGCGGGTAACATTGCGCATGAGCTTGGTCATTTTGTATCTTCACATGTGGCAATGGCGACAAGCCCGTAATCTCCCCCATTGAAACTGTTCATCGATAAGCGATCGCAGATTAGATACGTCTGTGATCTTAAAACTGCTAGTGAATGCAGCATGTACAAACCCATTAAGCTAGTTCTGGTTCTTGTCTATCATCTTACTTTATCTACAATCATTTTCTTGCCCTCCTGGGTCGTCTTCGCAGCGCTTCGCATGAGATCAGTCGGCCAGCACTATCTGCACCTCCAAGCACTGAGGCTTCGGCGACAGTTACGGTCATCGCCTGTGCCAAGTTATATGTAAACCATGAAGGAATCGAGATAACCCTGTAAGCTCACGCCCAAGTGCTAAAGATTACAGAGAAGCGAGTAGGTTCTTCCTCAGCGTTGTTGGTGGAAGGTGCTCGATATTTGACTACAAGCGGATAGGAGTTTCCGTTTAAAACTCTACTACACTGTTTCTGATAATGTACTCTATGTTTTAAAGCTCAAAGAATTTCCCACACGTGGTTTTGCGCTTCCTGTATCCCTGTCTCTCGTGACGCACAATCACGATACCTGCACACCGAAGCGCGTCAATCTCACTATACGCGGACAGGAGTCTCCGGTCAAAATTATACCCCCTTACTCCCGATAACACACTCCAAACCCCAAAGCTCAAACACTTTGTTCGGACGTGGTTTTGTGCTCACAGTTATATAGCAGCCAAGATCAATAACTTGGTCAAATGGTCGATTACGATCTTGCACATGTCGCGCCCAGCGCAATAATACTTGCTCGAGGTCGCGGTGCGCGATGATATATACGGTTCACCTGAATTCATAACGGTCGTACGTGCCGTACTTGTCATAGAATTCGCGATCCTGATCCGACCAAAACCCTCAAGCGCGCAAGAACATTACTGTCCAATTCACTGGACCACAAACAGAATCCTCGAGCTCCGCGATCTAGAGACCACATACGAAATTGCCGATTCGCTTGAGCGGTATGTAAAATTAGCATTGCTAATCAACACGGCGCGGTATGCTTACTCACTAGATCTGCAAGCCCTGATTCTTCCTCTTGAACTCCTTCTGGTCGAAGATCTGGACTGCCAACACGCCGTCTTCAGTAATCCGCCTCCAGTTTGCCTCTTCGATAAGCTCGAACTTTCCAATGCCCGCGCCACCTCTGGAAGACTTCTCGCAATGATGCATCAGCTTGACAACTGCTAACGTACTGAAAAATATATTTCTAGAAGTACCTATCCTTATATACTTGGAAGATAGTTGCCCTCCTTGCGAGCTAACCCGCCGCTTTCTCAACGGTAGACTTTGTGCCCTTATCGCACTTCCGCTCGGATACCGAGACGCCCACGGTGGGCCGAATTATTTCATCCGAAGATCCTGGTCTTCCCCATCCACATTTATATACTTCAGGGCTATACGACGAGAATATGATGGCCCCGCTGAGGGAACAGCACGATAACAAGTTCTTCGAATTTTATCTCGATCCGTTGCTTTCTAATAGCCCCTCGTCTACAATGGGTAGCACATCCGGCCTAGATAGGAATAGACATGTCTCCATAGACCCACGTGTTAGCCTCATCACAATCTGACCTTCCATCATCGACTGTCGCATCGCCATTATCGAGTCAGCAGCGGACACGCATATAAGGAACATTAATATGTTCCCTAGAATGGCATAATTTTCCTACGCAACCAACATCCTCAGTTTTCAGAACGGTGGCAATACGGTGGCTCATGCTCAAGCCATGCTCCTGGCTGCCTTGTATTTGGGAAATTTGGGCGATTTCATGAAAGCTGGAGCTGTCCCAACAACGCGCTCGACCGCAATAGAAGCGCTATAGACGCCCTCTACGGGCCGCGCTTCCACGAGCCCGAGCTCTGCTTCGGGGCTACTACATGTGAAGGGCAGAGTTGTTGTCGATGCTTCGACTGTGCATCCTCGACACCTCGGTTTTCCACTCGACAGACATGACGATCTTGACCGTACATCGGACTCGCTAGCCGCTCGATTGGTTTTGCCAAATACAGACTATTCGGAGCCAGGAATTCATCTGCAGCGGTGCCAGCCTTCTCCGCAATCGAAGCCATGGCCTTCTGGAAGTTCTCCTCGCGGAAAGCTCCTTTCTTGTCGACAGTGAGACGCCAGGTTTGAAACAGCAAGGAACTCAGAAGAGGATGCGTGGCTTCTGTCAGTTATACGACTTGACTGAGCCATGCGTCGCACTGTTCTGCCACCTAAGGAGCGAACGTCGACACAGGAATCGATCCGGGCTCCCGCGCCATCACGAAAGGGAAGCCGGATACCTAATCCATCAATGCAATCAAATCCAGTGTCGTCAACCCCGTTGTCGAACGTTGACGCGATAGTGAGATATCTAGAGACCTCTCACGCTAGGCCGTTTTAGGAGGTCTATGACGTCCTCTCCGTGAATTGCGAACTTCTGGATGGTGTCCGATTTGATTGAAACTTGATATATGGAGAGACGTGGGCCTCCTTTATTCAGTACTTTGTTTGCTAACCTTGTGCTCGACGTACGGCGGAGGGGATATGCTGCAGCCGCTTGCGGGTGCAGACCTGGAGCTCGCTATCAAACCCGTTGTGCAGCGCCAACGCGAAGGACGCGGCGGTGACCTTTTGATGCTCGCAACACACCGACACTTCCAGGGTGCAAGTTCAAGAGACAGAGATGGCGCAGTATTAGAATACCTTCATATGCTTTCAGCTGCGCTGATTCCAGATCTATCTCTTTCGCAACATTCTTCATGAGGCGGACATCCTTGGAGTAGCCAATGAACACTGGGCTGCTAGTGTGGATGCTTTTCAATTGGAGCTCGAGAACTCGCCCCAGGCATAGGAAATGGCATCATAGAGGGACGTTTTGGGCACAACCTTGTCTCGATAGACGGTAACACTGCGACGTTCGATCACGCCGGCCGGGACACACTCGAACGCTCGTCATTATCGCCGACTTGATCGCGACAGTACTTCCTTTCGGCTACTAAAGGTTCTCACAAAAAGGTCTCTGAGAGGGTACCGTGCAACGTTCGATGTTTCACCGTTGAAAAATCGAGTGTACCGACAGCTAGGATTGGGCTTTTGGCTGCGCTGAAACCAGATCTACCAGACCAACTGCAGCCTTGCCGTCTCTCCGCAAGTATCCCACCTCTACGAATTCTAGGCATCGCATAAACCAGGGCATCGTTTTCGGTGCGTCGGTCGGCGCCGCAAAGATCTTTCTGACGCGCCCACAGCTTTCCCAACTCCTCGAGGCGACGCTTCATAGAACAGGCTCCCGTTCGATATCTCGACGATTGCATAGGAAAGCACTTCTTCTATGAGTATTTTCGAGCTGGTACAAAACGAACAAATGGCACTTTTCTGGATCTAGCTGGGCTGAGCTTCGGGACTTGGGCGAACAGACTTGGGTCATCATCGTAGAGCCCCTCCCCGGAACCTGCTCGGCTGTGGCGGTGCTGGATTGCGTAGCAGCATTCAGGGCTTGCCAAATTAACGTCCGGTCTGGGGCTCGCAGTGGCTGGAGGAAATGATGGTCACGAACATCAAGCCTCTAGAACGTGTTGTGGCATGTAAAATTCAAACCTTCCACACTGAGGACTTCACTTCGCCGCGGGCTTGCTGGCTGAGCTGTACACGCTCGACGATCTGGCTTCGCTGATTCTCTGACTCCACGATGGCAGTCCAAGCTGCCGCATACCTTGCGAATCAAGACATCCAATAACGGAAAGACTCATTGAGTGACTGAAATGCCGTTGGAAGTAACTGTACTTATTAGGCCATGCATCGAGCCTGGAGTCGTGGTCGCATTAGCTTGCTAGATTACACATCATCACTTTCGAGGCGATTTCTGAAGCGCAAGTCCGTCACGGTGGAGAAGTCGACTTTGGAAATGAGAATCGGTCCAACACTCTTAGGTTTCGGCCACCGGGTCGCGCTGGCGCAAGCGGCGATAGAAATAAATAAGACATGTGCCTCCTTCTCCACCACCACTGCCGTCCAGCCATGGAAGTCTTTACCATCTTCCAGAAATTGGGCCTTCTTGAGAGGTCGATAGTAATGGAGTCTCTGAGGGTTGTAGGCAAGCTGCCACTGCCTGCATCTGCCTCAATGATGTGGTCCCCCAGATTTGGCTCCGACTTACCTTCTACTAGACGAAATGTCTTCTCAGCATACTTTCGACTTGATTGCCAAACCTCCTTTGCTTACGTTCCTCTCCGCCTCGCTTCGCCGCCAGTATCAGCGCGGACTTCGCGCGTGCGGTCGCTTGCGGCCTTTTGTGGGCCGTCATCTTCCTCTATTCACCAAACATCAACATTCGTTCAAGTACTTCCGTTGTTCTTTTCCTGCATAAGGATGGAGCAACGGCCTTCTTCGCAGTACACAGGACACACACCCAGGCCTTGTGCCGCCGTCGCGGACTGCCAGACGGAGATAACACTGTTGGCCACAGTGCTATGTCTTTGTGCAACTTTCCGTCAACATTGGGTAATATTAATTTTGTAACAATAAACAAGTAAAAAGGGGAGAGACAAAATTCAATAACGATGCTCTTATGAGGAAACCCCAATAACATTAAAAGCATAGTACTGGGCCCATTCGCGAAAGTCGGTCGCCTGTCGCTCCCGGGCAAACTCTTTCAAACTTTGTTAGACAGCACCAGCCTGAAGTTTCCTACAGATGAGAGCAAGAGCAGCAGATTCCGGCTCTGCTAGTAAGACGTTTATGCATTCTCATGACCGGAATACCGAGAAGATTGATTCAAAAGGAGTGACATATCATCATAACAAGAGGTCCTGACTTTGGATGCGTAACACCAGAGCTCTTGGTAACGACGGGTACGTTCTGCCTCTCGTAAACATACTGAAGCGCGGTAACCCCCACTTGAGAATACCATTGCTCCAGGGCCCAGCAGAAGGCTAATGAGCTGAGGCGTGCTATTAATCTAGCTGGAAGGGACCCGTTTCCTTTGGGTGTGAGGCTGCTGGTAATAAGCGACCTGATAGTATACCACACCAAGCTCTGATTACTCAGTTGGCTTAACTCATAGGCAAGGAACGGGAAATCATTGACCTTCTTGCTCTTTATGATGCGCTTGGGGGCCTTGATGACCGCATCGGCGTATTTGTAGGTCTCCAGACCCGTCTGCTGCTGAGCCGCCTCGCCGTCTGCTGCCCGTTTGACCACGCCGGTTGCAAAGAAGAGATGGAGGCGATACAGACCGCGGAAAGATGTCGCCACACTTGTCCTGGGTGTCAAAATAAGTTTCAGACCATTAGTACCAGAGACGCTAGATTCCTATAAATAGCGCTAGCAACTCCACAGAAACTGTCGTGAGCATCAGTATAAGACACGATGATTTCTTAGCATCACTTACCATTTCATAGTGCTCGTCTACGATACAGATCTGCAGTACCTCTGTTTGAAACTGCTATATATATTCGAATTTTCGAATTTGCCGTACTTGTTTTTGAGCCTGTGATTATCCGCGAATGGCACTTAGCCAAAAGTGGTTTCGACGCGGGTCTGAAGGCATCCCGCAAAGATGGGGTCTAAGAACGTTAAGCGGGCCGATCACCTGCAATGAGTATTACGACCATGTTGTTTAAACTACTCGAGCTCCCAGAATATTGCGCCACTCTATGCCGGTATACTAGGAGATTTTCCCAGTCCAATCTCTGCATTACTGTATTTGGATTCTTCTTGGTAGGAACTCTTCCCATTGTTTTCAAACTCGACTTCGGACCGCTTGGAAGCCATGTGGGTTAACATCGTTTTAGAGACAACTAAAGGCCTCCACATTATCTCAAAGTTGGGATCCGTGGATATTAGGTCTGCTGGCGTATGAGGCGAAGGTAGTGGATTAACACTCACCAGTTTGGTTTAAACAATGTGAGCTGGAGTGTGCCCCTGTATCAGTGACCGGTACCCGCATTCTATAGAAAGCTAGGTATTCAGGTGGTAACAAACGATTATGTTCTTTGTTAAAGTCTCAGCGCTCTTCCGTTGGTTAATTCGATAAAGATGGAGTTGTCGTCGCCGATAGCGTCACGGCTGATCTTGTCTGCGTCCTTGCGTTGGGAATCCTTAATAAAGAACGAAGCCATGTCCTTCTGTGTACGAAATGGATTGATGGGATCATATATAAAGTAGAAATTTATTATAGTTATTCAGATGCAGCCGTTAGCGAAGCGGTCCGACGTGGATTGATGTATGATATCGATTACTACACAGCCCACAGTCCCATGAGTAATTGAGCCGACTAGATGGGGCCGCGATAGGCTGAAATTCCAGGGGTGCGCAAGAGCGTCCAAAGTCGTGATGTCGAGTTCGACTATCACGAACGGAACAAAGGTGGCGTAGCGGGATGCTACCGAAATGAGAGTCAAGGCAGAGAGCGGTAAGGCAGGCACAAGTGTAAAGAGAGGCAGGGAAGGATACTTCTCAAAAATGCGAATACAGAGAGCTTCTAGACCAAGACCAAGTATTATATCCGCCTTTTACGGTCGTGGTCGAGCGCATTGCTTCAGTCTTACTAGCTGACCGTCCGACTTCGGTGCGTTGCGCAGCACTTAAGCGGTGTAGGAGCACCACCAGCAGGACACCAGTCTATCCGTCCTTCCTGCGAGGTAGCCACTATCGACGTGCCTTGGCCATATCTGCACATCTCATTCCCACCTTCCGAGGGTGTATGCCTGGTTTCAGCAATATATATGTCGTGGTGTATAAATCGGGGTCTGGTGCAATTCAGCCTACTAATCCTTCGAGGGGGGAGGCGTTCAAAGCTCAGCGAGGCATGCTCGTCATTGTCGGAGGGAAGGGCCGTGCTGCAACGAGCTGCAACGCTAAACAGAAGCTGGAAAGACGTTAGAGGGGGAGCTTGACAAAGGGCGGCACTGTACCTCGCGTAAATGTATGGCCTTGCGCTCCTCATCTCGCTCACATGCACCTTTCGCCTCTATCCAGCTTCGAAGCGCCTTCTGTTTTCGCCCTTCTTCACTGGTATTATTTTCGACGAAGGCGTAGGCCGTCGCTGTCGACCAAGTCCGGGACTCTTGGGTGAGCCCGGCGTCGCGGTACGTGAAGACGTCTTTGTGCGGGTGGATGGGAGTTACTGAAGACGCACGAAGCCGAGAAGCCGCTTCCAATAGAATGTGGGGGGCTGTTGTCTGGCATTCAACTTGTGGTGCGGGGTTCCACGCCATCGGCGGCAGGCGCGAGACGCGCCATCACGTGATCATAACATCTCCAGCATCCCAGCCCTGGGCGTCCTGCACGACGACAACACAGACAAGACCGCCAGCGCCGACACTATAATTGAAGCTATCTACATCATACCACACCCTCTGTCTCCATCGTCGTGCTCAGAGGCTGCGACTTGGGTTGAAATCGTAGGCGACTATCAGGACGATGGCCGGTATTTGGTGGCAGCTCCCATGCATAAGCATGTGAGGGTCTGTATCCTCGTCCCGGCTACGAACATAACAGACAGGCTGGAGAAACTCAGGAAGCCTCATTGTCCGTCCCTGTCCGTCGCATGCTGCTCTGTCGATAGGCCAACTGATTCTCCCTGTGCTTGCCGTCCGCGAATTTGGCAGACATCGTTTGTGATGAGAATGGGCTGTAGTGATGGTGACATCGCATCGTGAATAGGGAACGGCTGAGACGATTCCAGCGTCTGTATGTAGTAATGACCTGCGTTTCAATGATGTTGCGAGGTGCACTTGAGCGCAGACTTGGGTTTGCCATGGACACGCATCGCGCAGCCCGCGCCCTCAGCCGCTCAGCCTCATCGGAGACATCTCCGCGAAGGAGTCAACACAATCACCAGAGCGATCATAGCTCGACGAAGTCGCATGCTCGTAGCCAATGGACAGGTCCTAATGGCGATACGCAGGACGCCGTCGGTTAATTAGGCACGGTAGTCTGGACGTCACGTCTGGCTTCTTCAACAAGGCAAGCTCCTATGCGCGCACCAGCACAAACATGAAGCGACACAGTGGATGCATGTGCTCTGCAAGTCATAATGTTCAATACCTTAAACTCTGTCAAATACAGTTTTCGTGCCCGCCATGTGTCGCAACCCCCGGTGCGTCGCCTGAGAGACGGCGTACCGAAGCGAGGCGAACAACGACAGGCGGAGCGCCCTCCGTACGTCCTTCCCCAGACCAATCGCGCTTCCTGTCAGATCAAGCCGCGTGTGAACCTTATCACAACGTCGTCCAAGACCCAGCTCATCGCCAGGACCATGCATCCCATCACGTAAAAGAAGCCTTTCCTCCCAACGACCACACACCATCCGGATACTTGCTCTCCCTCCTAATCCTCCGCTATCTGATATCCGGGGTCCTCCTCCGCTCTCTGATCTCCGGGCTCCTCCTCCGCATCGCAAACCTGTCCGTTGTGCGCCTCGGTGAAGGCGATAGCGTGTAAGCCGGAAGCTCTAGCCATCGTCGAATTGGGGTATGAGGCGGAGGTAGCGCCATCGATGGTCGGACCTTGTAATACTTCTTTGGGTCGCTCTCCGGACGTATGGGGAGCCCGTAGGTAGGCGAAAGAACATGCATGATACTAGCCTCGATGGTACGGGCCGGAGTAGGCTCCATTACATGAGCCCTACTGCCAGTGACCGCAGGCCGATGTGCAACTTCTGGCGATGTGGACCGATGATTGACCCGATGCTTGAGCCGACGTTTGTGGTCACGACGGAGCTGCTGATAATTGTCGGTTTCGTGCTGTCGAGGAATAGTCGACGCTCCGAAGGGAAGATTGGTCTTCAGGCCGTAGAGTGAGTGGGACGGTCCTCCTGTGGTTCTGTGAGTACCGAGTACCATATTTCGCATGGGGTACGTACCGTGAGGTAGAGTGAGCGCGCGCGCTGGGCCTTGGGTCGGTGGCGTGTATGGCTGGGTCGCATCGACGGCATCTGAGTGAGCTACCATCGGTGCAGATACAGCCATGGTGTGTCGACCTGTTGCCCCGCTCAGATGCCCGCTCGCCTCTTGTGCATCTGGGCCCAGTGCTTGGGATGTATCCGCCGTACCGCTTTGCTCGAACGGCAGCTCGAGTCGGCCGCTTGAAAAGGTGGAACTGCTCATATCCGGCTCGCATGGAGGTGGCTCATGGGGCGCCAGTTCGAGGGAGGCCAGCTCGCGGCCCATCTCGACTAGCTCTTCTCCCTTCTCGATTAGCTCTTCTACGGATACAATTAGCTCTGGCTCTGGCGTTGCCTACACGGCGGGACACGTACTGCTACGACGCGTGGCCTCGCTCGCCTGCTGGGTGAGACTGCCGCCAGAATCGTGGACACGAGGACGGACCTCGTCCCTGTGAAGGGAGACTCGCTCGGTATCGTAGGGTACCGGCATGCTGCTTTGGTGGTGTATGAGTGGAAAAGTGCCAGAAGTGAGAAGAAGAGGTTGTAGATAACGCAGCCGGCCTTGGCGTCGATGCCACGAGCGGGAAGTGTCGGTGAATGAGGATGTGAGAGCTCGCTTCCAGCTCTAGGGCATGCTCATAGCCGCGGCGCAAAGTGCCTTCACCTGCAAGCACTTGCTCCTGCTGCTGCTGTGCAACCATTGTCTGCGGTATACAGAGCAACCTGACGGACACCCGTCTGCCACTTTGACACGTAGTGAACGGGCGTGAGGAGCGCACGGGTGAGGAGCGAGGCAGCGAGCAGAGGGCGATTGGCAAAGCTCGGAAGAAGAAGAGGATGGGATCTGGCGGGGAGCATTTCTGCAAAACAGATGCGCATGCCATAGGTGGAGTATGTCGGTCAAGTCTGCGCATGCCACCCCACGCCGTCACGCCGCAGATAGCCTAGCCCAACCGCAATTGCACGACTGTAACCCCACGCGAGCTTCTACCCCACAACGCCTTCCCCACGGCCTGTCCGACGACCTGTCCAATCTTCCTCGCTAGCCCACCAACTTGCGAAGACGACGATTGCAATCGAATGTACCATGTTGATGGAATGAGCGAGACCAGGGTTGATTGGCTGATCGTGCTAGAGATGTCCCTTCTGAAGGCGTTGGGCTCGCGGTTCTGGAGCGCTGGAGCGTAGTCAACATGACAACACACGCGTCGCATACCGCCGGCACCTTGTTGTCTCAACCGCACGCTTCTTTCCGCATCTACAGTGCAGCCGCTGCCCGAGCCGTGCAGGGGCTATCTCGCCGTGCGCTCGTCGACCGTATGCTCAGCGCCATGGCATGGCCAAGTGTGGATTTCGGGCACTTGTAAGAGTTGGTGTTGGCATGCTACTATTGAATGGTTTCGGATCATGTTCGCTCCCGTTGTGGACCTAGGAGGCTTCTCTTGTCAAGCACACGTCTTTGCAGGGGCACGGCTTTGTGACCCGAACTCCAACGACCCGCCATGAACTCCTCAGGGAAGGGGAGGGTATCGGTTCTAGGCTTCGTTCCTTACACACGTGATACGGTGACGCTACTCTTGGTTACCAGAGAGGGCACTGGACGTGCAAGGTGAAGGCCAAGGAAGCAAAAAACGCAAAAGTAAGTGATGCGATCAAGAGGCTTATTTGACGCTTTACAGTCCCTCCAGGCATGCTCGGAAAGCTGCACTCGCTCACCCCGACTATCCGTACCAGCGACGAACAGAGTGCGCTCTTAGAAGCCAACAGCTTGTATAACTACCGTGGAGCACGGGGAAGCCAATACATATCGTGGGCCAGTCACAATCGATGTGGAGGTCTCAACGTTCCGATCACCCACAAGGAGCGCGTCAGCGACATCGGTATCGCTACACATTTTCGTCACTCGGAATCACCAATATCGCATTGCATCCACGAGATGCAACGGGTCGGCTACATGCATGTAAGAAGGCTGTTCAGACACGTTTCATCTAGGGAAAGACCGTCGCTCGTTCAAATGGGTAGAGATCGTGTGCAGCAGTCCCGCAGTCGAATCGAAATTGTATCGCGCTCCCTATCTACCCGAACACCGTCATTGCAAGGCTGGGGGCCTTCCACCAAGATCAAACCCTCCGTCGCTCAACCCAAACGAGTCCAACGCCTCGAGCAGCGATCAGGACAGCAGCGCCGAGCCCGACCAAATAGCACTCAACAAGGCGAAGGCCGTTAGCTAGCCCACGACAACAAGAGCTTCATGATGTCGCTATTTTCAATTGCCTTGCCAGAAGGGAAACCAGGATCATCTGTTGCTGTAGCGTGGGAGACGTCCTTGGTGTTCCGAATCACTTCTAAACCGACTTGAAGATATGAGATGATGCCCTGCTGGTAGACGCTGCCTCGTTAATCTCTTGTAAAACCAAAGGAGACACTCCGTAGTTGGTGCTGTTGCTGTGAGAAAACTCTCCGACTACTGCCATATCGGCTGCTTTCTCACCACTCATCAATGTTGGAGACAATGGACGATATATGTTTCCAGCGTCATTGTCTACCGTCTATTTCTGCTTGCAGTGATACGTTGGGTTTCTCTTGGACGGCAGGTAGCGGTATGGTTTCTTCTTCGGAGTCCTCATCTAGAAACTTGAGCTTTGACACGCTCTTCGTGCTACTGACTGTGGTTTGCACAGAGATGCTACACCCGCTCTGCGGTGCACCCGGGGACGTCTTAGGGCGTTGCGGCGTTTGAGGCAGCTTGAGGTTAATCATGTGTGTTTGCGTTACTGTCCTTTGGTGCTTCGGGCTGGGGTCCTCGTCTAACCACTTGGGCTTCTGGACGATAGGGTAGGCTTGCTCGCGGATATGCCGGAAAGTTCAGACGAAGACCCGTTATTGAACTGCGTGGGCTGATAATTCCAATGGCCGGAACTGTAAGCGCCTTTCGCTTCGCCTTTCGCCTAATTATCGGTTTCCTTCATCCCAGAGAACATAACCAACACCCTCTCTTCTATCAGTACCTCTACGAACTTCGAGGCAGTCTTGCGTAGTGATACAAATAACTGTTCGTTAGAAACTGGCCCTTCGTACTTCCCACCATTCTTAAAGAAGAATGCTACTTTTTCCCTATCTCTGTTAAAGTCTCCGTGCGCATTGGTTATCTTGTTTCTGAGTTTGACTGCTTTAAGGTGGTCATAGCTTCGTACTCTTCTGGTAGGCACCTGTCTACGGTAGCTGATCTAACTATGGCCGCGTGGATCGCTTTAGATAACCGATGGTGATCTGTGGCGACGTTATGTCGCCAAACTTGTGGCGCAGGCCAGCCGTATTAACGCCTCTGTGGACCTTCAAGCTAGCTTTCCTGTTGGCTGTACCCGATCTTATACGATTGGATGAATCAACGATCGGGTTTCCCAGAGCGATGAGGTCAACAGCCTTCGCAGGCATGTTTATCTATTATGTCACGAACAAAAGACTCCACAGCCACCCTCTTATTTAACGAGCTACCCATGAACTCTTCAAAACAGCACACGTTGATAAGAAACACTCCCGACTTTACATACGTCCAACTGTCTCTGAACCATGATTCTGTATCCTTCCAGTTGACTCCCAGCCTATTGAGCAATTCAGCAGCAATGATAGCTGTTAATGGTCTCGGCTCGGTACTCTTCGCTGGGTCATAGGACATGCCGATGCGGCGTACGGGTGGATAGCGGCCCTATAGGGTCTCTCCACCAGCACTATAGTCTTTACCGGTAACGCCAAACAAGGCGCAGATATATATCTTATTAAAGGCGTTGTTAATTTGTAACCGTATACTGTTAATAATCCTAGCCTACATATTAGCTTCATACTTCTAATCCCCCACAGAACTCTTACGGAACAACACTCTATTGTTGCGATGTTCAGCATTGCGAGAACCTATCTGTGAGGGGTGGCCGTTTCACTGGCGCCCGGTTATGGCGCCGACCCTATAGTACTTCATAGATATTAGAGATCCTGCTACAACGGAAACACTTGTCATTCTTCATAACGCATTCCATAAACTCAGACGGAAGTGTTGGTCCAGTGCCAGAATACAGTGTCTTTGTCCTGAAGCACCATCGGCAGCCTGATCATTACGTGAACAAGGCAAGTATACATAAGCTGAGGGAGGACGTGAGCAACTTGCTAGAGGTCAAGCGCGAAGAAGTATCTCGGACGATATGTCGTGGAGATGAGCCGATCAGTTAGATGGCTTTCGACATATGTGCGGTTGCTTCAGCATAGGGCATCGAACCTTTCGCACGGAACAAGGATCGCAGGCTCTCCGTGTCCCTTTTCGCCGCGCCATGTTCATCCGGGCGGGTGCAAAGGACAAGCAGTTCGAGGAGCTGGAGGGCACAGTGAGGAGCATCGGAAATGCGGAGAAGATCAATGACCGGGCTGTCATCCAGGAGCGTGAGCGAGGGCATCGCAGAATCGGTTTCTCGCACAGCCTTGCGTGTGGCCCCAAGCAGCTACCTCATTAAGAGTTGTCTTCAATAATGCAATGCGACATTAGCTTTGCAACGCAAGACCAGAAATTGCGAGATTGCAGGTCCAGAAACATCAGCACGAGATCATGTGGGTTCGTCGCAATGACGGTGGTGGAGAGCACAACCTAGGGTACCATAAGTAGGACAAACAATATGGACGCCGCGCAACACGATGACTGAGATAAGGGTATGGTTATTGGTTGTTTCCTTATTTCAATCGCTACTTTGCCATCGTTACTAAATTCAAATCCAAGAATATACGGTTTGGTTCCAAGCGGCACGGCGGAGCTACTTTTCTTAATTACTACTTCTAAGAAATTACTAAACTACTAGACGAAGAAACGCAGGATTCTACTCAAAATGGAAATTCTGCGCATGAAGAAGAGCGCTCAAGAGGAAGCAGCGCGTTGGAAGAGGCGTCCAGGCTGCCCAGCCTGTCCCTCCGAATGGGATACTCGCCACGCGTATACCCCGAGCGGACGGATTAGCCGGTTCCCCTACCTATGACCGAATTTCAGATGCTTTGCCAGGGCAGCCACTTCGGCGATCACAGCGGCTTCGTTTGGTTCCTTGAGAGCTACTGGCGTGTTGCGCACGTAAGCTATGATATCAAGACATTGACTGCATAGTTATTTTCTTCATGGGTATGCGAGATTTGCGGACGTCCACTCTAGAACATTGCAAAGGTATACATACCGAGGGGTCCGATCTCCGTCTTCACGTACGACACCCATACGTATAACAGTTGAATCGCGAATACCAAACATGTCGAACCTTCCACACTCACATACTGGCGCGTCTTGCTGCGCGCTGAGACGTGACCATCGTGGCTACGTGGTTAAAGCTTGATTTCTCCAGATAATTTTACTCTCCATCTTCCTTTTCGAACATGATTGTGAGATGGTCCTGTACGAAGCGGCGATGGCCATGGGGTCTTCTTTCAGTCGACAATTTTCCATTTCATACCGCGCTTGACACATCGCGA